GGGCTAAATCATTATAAGATCTCATTATAAAGACTAATAATAATTATAAATGTTATTTTGAAGGTTTCTACGAAAAAAGATGAGACGTCAAAGAACTGATTTTTAATAATATTACATCGTTGGTCTATATCGCAGAAAAAAAGGAAAACTAAACCACTCGAAGGAGGTAAATAATAAAATCAATCTACGAATGAAACAATTCAAAAAGATTTGGTGCAGTGTCAAACAAAAATTCGAGTAAGCATTTGCAAGTTGTATATCAAAAATTGCGAAATTTTTCTCGGACCTGATATCAGTCTTGCTTGAAAGATTCCTACACTCCTCCATTGTTATCATCTCATCTTGCTTTCAAAATAACAATTACAAAGTGATAAAAACATCAATCATAAGTTAACACGATTAATACTTACAGCAACGGCTCGTTGCGTCCGTTGCTGTTTTGTACGTTCTTTGAATTCCCTTTGTGTTCGATCAAATCGAGTATTCAAACGATTCTTTGTTGCTCCACGAAACTGACCTTCAACATTACTCTTAGGACGTACAACATAATCTTTTTGAGACGGTCGTGGTACACGTGCGCGCATTATGAAACCTTTGTCACCAGGACGAGGTTCTGATATCTCCTTTTCAGCATCTGAACTTTCCGATCCAGCACTAAAAATGTCAAAATAACACTAATCACACTCCAGCTAGCACTGTCCGAGAGATACGTTTGTACTGAATACGACATAGTTCTCCTCATTATTTTTAGTAAAAAGGAGTTTTCATTCTAAAAAAAAAATGCTAAACCAATCCTAGAAAACTGAACTAATGCATGATAACCAAATCATTATGGAACAGTAATGGCAAATCATTTACGTCCATTCATCCGATAATTAAAATTCAAAAATATACTCTAGATGTCGCCGCTTAGCTTCTGATAGTTGTGCATAATCACGTTGTATACGTTCATCTTTTGTCATTGAACGAAAATCTGTATCAAGCTGAAAATAAAGGAGGAAATATATTAAGAGTAACATCTTAAACATTTTTTCTTACATCATCATCATGTAAAGGATTTGTGTGAGTTTTGTAGTACACAAAAATATCTAATACACAATTCCGTTTACTAACTGAAACTTACATTCTAATTTCATTCCGTAGCAATTTCTACTCAGGAATCCCTTCTCAATCTAAAATTCCCGAACTATAAGAAAGAAAATAACTTCATTAATCAAGGACAGTTTGTTGTTTTATAAACACCATCCTACAAATTATCAAACTATTTTATCAACTCAATTGAGAACAGCAAAGAGATTTTCCGAAAACAAACAAGTTCAATAGAACGAAAAGTAGCGAACTTGAAAGATAGGTCTAGCCCAATCACTAATCAACCGTGCAGCAAGAGCTTTGTTTTCCTTAGTTTCGCGTGGGTGCTTATAGAGTAGCATTACAGCACGTCCTAACCCAGATTGTTTCAGAGTTCCCGGTTCCAGTCGATTAAAATCTTGCAGGATTTTTAACAAATCCGTTCGAATCTCCAATGCAGGCAATGATTTATCAGGTAACGGTGCTAACCATTCCGATATTACATTCATCATGCCATTATCTACAAAAATATTGGAAATTTTTTAAATATCTAAATTTCCAGCAAATTCTTAAAGTTGCAAATAAAGAACTTCAATAAAACGGAGTTACAAGACCTTTGAGGATATTTAATTTGAGCAAAAACAAAAATTATAATACGGAAGTATCTCGGAACACTTGCTGCTAACAAAGTGCTCGTATTTTATTTCGATAATAACTTACAAGGTTCGCAATAACTTAGTCAGCAATATCAACTTACCAATGATAGCCTCCATTAAATCGTGTTTTATCAACATTGTTTTTACGTGTGGCAGCATTTTACGCTTTTGCAATGCAGGTCGACGCTCTATATTCGAGTGTCTGTCGTCCTAAAATACTTTATGCAAATATTATTACAAATTTATGATCGTTAAATATTTTATAATTGACACAGCAATATTTCTACATTAAAATTTCATTCTGTATCATGACTAATGTAATTACTGAAAATCCTATAACATATGTGAAAGAAGATGAATGTGCTATATTTTGGAGAAATTGTGAAGATTTAAGCTCCGTAAAAGTTATTAAGTAAATTCAAAATTATTAAATCATATAAATGAAGTGCACTATATGTTGAAAGTTAGGAATTATTTTATTTTCACGTCTTTGAAAAGTAAAAATTCGAAGAACACCTTTGCTGCAGCTTTCATAGCATCAATAAGTATTTTGATTTGATCATCATATGCTCCACCAACATCAATAGACCCATCTCGTCGGCGCCTTCTTGGTCTCCGTCGCTCCGCTTTCTTTTCACGCATCATCGTATCAAAGTCCCAAACTCGTCTACAGAATGGATGATCTTTTGATAATGCCGCTCAGTAAAAAGTCATATTCTATATCATGATTATGTAATCATTGAAAGTCCTACAACATATATAAAACTGCCTTATAGTTCAATTACATTTATCTGGATACCTGTTCCTAATAAAATGCTTTATTTTTTGACAAAAGTTTTACCCATCATCCTCGTCATTTTCATCACGAACATATCTTGGCTCGTCATCATCTCCTTCCGGACGATTTCGTTCAGCCTGACATTAAAAAAAAAATATTAAAAGCAATAAACATATTTTGTCTTCTATTACTTGCACTCTCGTTTTTCTAATCTCTGCTGAAATTAACTGGTAGGAGATCGGACATCAAAGCCAAATATTAGAGTTGTATTAATAAACAATTATCTTTTTTTCAATATTTGAAGTTCAAGTCTTTTAGAAGAAAAATAAGCTGGGTTAGATAGGGGAAACTTCATGTGCTGCAAAAAGTTAAAAGTTAGAAAGTACCCGATATTGTGTTTGAACTGCATCTTCACTTTCCTTTTCATCATCGCTATCCTCTCCAAATATATTGGTCATCAATTCCCCGACACCAACTTCAGCATGCTCCCCATCCTCTTCCGATTCTGAATCATCTCTGGAACAGACATGATGCAAACGAATCATGAATGAAATAAAATTAGAGATACAACTTTGATATTCTATTTCAGAATATCAAAGTTATGTCTCTAATTCATACCTTAAAGCAAATATAATCTCAATAAAAACGTATAAGATGTTCAAGTGTTAAACACAGACATCTCTCTTTGAGTGGTTTTTACCACTAGCAAATATACTTATTACAAGAAGTTATTGATAGTGCAGCCACCTTGACTTTGCTGCCGCCGGTGCGGTATCCATATTATCTTCTTCATCGCTGGACAACATAATGCGCCGCGGTTTCGATGGACCGGCCTGTTTGTCTGCAACTTTTTTCGCTTGAACAACACTCTTTTACTCACAAAATGAATAAAATACGCTTAGGAATAGAAAAACAAGCACTCTACATAGAAATTGGGACCGTTGTATCTATTTTATACGCTTATAAACAAGGGAAACCATCTGTTTTATCACCAACCTCCATCTCCATCAGAATCGTTATCATTTGTTTCATGATTTGTATCTGCTTTTTCCGTCTCATCATCCTCATTCGTTGAATTTATATTATCATCGTTAATCTCCTCCTTCGTTTCGGAACACTGCTCTATATCCTTATCATGATCAAGAGCGTCCTCTTCTTTCACTTTTTCCTCAGTCCTGAATTAGACCCATCATATTATCAATGTGTGCAAATACAAATTTACGTTTTACCTTTTGATCAGTCTACATCGGTCTTTTTTGCTCAAGCAATCACGAACAATTTTCAAGCGCAATCTGTACATTATGTCTTTAAACGATCAAACTTCAAACATGAATAAGGTGTATAGCTGACTGCATCTGCGCCCATACACACATCTAAAAGCAGCCAAAAAATGCTTACTTCTCATAAAAAGCAACAATAAAAAGCTAATCCTTCACTGAAAAAACAAACTCGTGTGACGAAAACTGCGAATGGGACGAAAAACTATCCTTTTCATCATCATCTTCAACGACACCTTTTGAATCTTCAACGTCACTATTTGTCTGAGCAACTAGCTGAAATGCAAAACAGCTATGGTTTCTGCTTCCTTTTATTTACAATTTCGAACTCTATCCGGTTGAGCTATTTGGCAAGTCAGACTTCCTCTAATCTCATTCACGCTTTGCAGATCTCTGTCTACAACTTGATAACAGATTTTAATGAAAATAAATTTAAAACATACATAATCTGATTGAGTCGGACTTAAAGCAGTAGTGCCATCACTTTCTTGACTAATCTCAAAAATTTCAGATCCATGATTGCCAATGTCACCTTCTTCCAATTCTGCCATCTACAACATATTTAAGAACTTGATACATTATATACTTATTTATAATACTATTATTTCTTACTATTACCTCAAATGAATATCCCTATTCACATGTAATCTGAAATCGTAATTCCTTTTCTTGTGTACGAGAATACCAGAAAAAGTCAGATAGGAATTCAATCTCAACAAGCAATCATTACAATTTATAAACTGGTAGAAACTGCACAGGTAAACTTACACAGGTAAACTTAATCAAGATATTCAATTAAACCGTACAACTAATCACTTAGAAAGTCATAAACCATCATGAACAAACTTGTATATTGCCAGAACATTCAGTGGCTCTCCTATTGATATCACCACATTGGTATCGATACGAAATTCCACAATTCCAGGTTGCGTTGCATTTCGGTATGAATGATTTATTAATTTATAAATTCGAAAAGAGAATTTTTAATTAATTTTAAAGGTTGTCACTAAATTACCCAGCAACCTGATTAAAATATTGTATTCAAAATATTGAAATGTATTTCGGATGAGCATTTATTCATTTTCCACTGTGTTTTCATCCTAACATTGTCACATAATTTACCAATTATAATCTTATCACTATGACCTTTGCAATTTGATAGTATCAAAGAGATGTGAAGTGAAATTATTTTTGGCATTTTAAACAAATCAAGAATATAACGATAAAATATTGCCTTAATGAAATTATAATACTTTAAAGCATTAATGCTAAAATGAATAATTGAATTACTTATATTATCAATTTTTGTTTTTCACTATGATTCAGCATGTGCTATTTATTATCAATAAACGTCTATTCATAAAACAATTATTTGATATTTTCTTCTCTTAACAATAAGCACTATTAGACTGATAAGTATTATCAGTAATATTTGTTGTTATGTTAAAAGCTAAAATTTATAGTTAAGCTTATTTTTATGTGAAACACTTTTTCATTAATTTAATTTGTAATTTTTTCGAACATTCAAATAAAGTTCTATAATATATGGAAATAAAGAATAATTTAAATTTCAATTTTGTTACAACTATTCATTAAAAGAATTAAAACTATTCACCCCATTTTAAATTGAAATTTAAAAAAAGAACAATGAAATATCATAAATAATAATTGTTGTGCTAATATTAATTTGCATATATAATTGTTAACTCAATTTGCATAATTTTATTTTAGTCAATGTTTGCAATCCATTCAACGAAAGCATTTAAATTTTCCCAATTATTGTTTACTTCTTCATTACATAAGCTTCAATTTACTGCTGATCAACCAAATAATAAGTTTGTTTATAAAATTACTTTCCGATATAAAACCAGTCGAACTTGTTTTAATACTTATTATTGTTTTAGTATAAATAAGAAATAAAATTTTATATAATTATATACTTTTTTTTTAGAATTGGAATTTACCACGAAAAAAAAGTGGTTATTGTCCAGTAAGCACAGTTACAACATCATAATTGCGGACTATATATAAAGTTAACGATACCTGGAAGATTTTTATCGTAGTATACAATATAATATTTGTGGACTATATATAAAGTCTACGATATCTGGAAGATTCTTATTATAGTATTTTCTTGGATATGATTACAAAGTTATTGTTGTTTGTCATGAAATTTTGATTTGTCAAATATGACAAATTATTACTCCAAATGTAATTTGTAATGAGAAATTCAGGAAAATTAAAAGAAAAATTAACTTCAGAAAAAATCGATAATTTGCTTTTGTAAATTAAAATTTTTAATTAATAATTAAAATAATTTTTCTATCTGATAATTAAAAAATTAATTATTCATTGTATTAATAATTTAATTTTAAAAAAATGAGGGAGAAAAAGAAAAAAGAAATATTAGAGCATTTTACTTTGTAATTTTGTTGATAATTGCTGTAAAAATAATAGATATACTATAAATGTATACCATTTATTGTTCATAATATAATTAACTATACATTTATTACAAATTGATAGAAGGAATGAAAGTTGTAGCATAATTTAATCAGTGGAAAAAGCATAGCATGAAACATCAAATTTAGCTATTTGACAGTATAGAGTAGCATGTGTGACAAATGTGAATGAATGATCGGTGCAAATCACATTGAAATCACGTTTTAATTTCTGTTCAGCAACTTTTTGAATTGATCGTTTTGAATCTGTCAAATTGGTCGATAAATTCTGAAACAAAAAAACGAACGAAATAATTGGAACATTTCAACTTGTAATTTTTACTTTCTGCTAAATATTATGAACGATCATATCTGTTTGAAATTTCAAAAATTTGAATTTTATCAATGAATAGTTGAAGTAAGATAATACCTAATCCATAATTTCCATTAGATCTTCATTTTCCTTTTCAATGCTATCTAGCATTTCTCGGGAAAATTAATGAGGCATTTTTGGGACGGAAGAAAGAAAAATGCAAAGAAAAAGAAACTGACAACCAAATACAGGAAAATAAGTAAATTGTTTTCGAAAGAAACCTAAGAAAAAGAATAAAAGATAAAGATAAATTTCTAGAATGATGATATTACTGATATAAGGCTATATTATTATGATCGATCATATTTGTTTGAAACTTCAAAAATTTGAATTTTATCAAAGAATAGTTGAAATAAAATAATACCTGATCCATAATTTCCATTAGATCTTCATTGTTGCAAGTATTATTTACAACTAAATTCATTTCTTCTCGCTTGTTCCTTTTATTTTGTCGTGCTATTGTTGCAGGATTTTCATCATTAGTAAAATATGATCCAATTAAATTAACAGATCTTTTACTTCTTAATTTATGACTGCACATTGAGCACATTTTGGCATTTCTTCTCTGCAACAATAAATTATTAACAGTAATAATAATCTTAAATGATAACAATTATGATGATAATAATTTCAATAAATACAATCGACAAAAATGATGAAACAATTAATGGATTATTATTGTGATTATATTGCTATTAAAAATAAATGGAATAAATGACTTTATTAATTTGTTTATGGCATACATAATTTAATTAAGTTCCAAATTTCCGGTGAATAAAGTTGAATTTTTTCCTATTTTATGAGGAATCGATTAACTGTCATTTACTACTACTTTTACTAATATGAACATTGACGGAACTGCTTATTTCATTACTTAGAACATATTTAATTATTATTACTAATTAATTATTACATTATTAATTCTTACATTCTATTTAAGGAGCGAAATTCGAGGATCTTCGAGGTATAATATATCTTCTATGATATACAAATAATGCCTTATATTCATTATTTTATAATAAGTAAAAAGGGTCTACGAAATTTACTTAGAAGTTTTTGATTCTTACATGATACCTTTAAATTAAGTTTTTCTGAAAAAGCAAGCGGTGGAAATAAATTCAAAAATGTAAAGAATAGAAATGAAAAAAGAGAAAAGTAAGCAAATTTGAGTAATCAGGTTGAAATATTGATGAAATAATGATCATTTAGTGATCTCAAAGGTCAAATCTAAGAATGAAACAGTGAACTTTTAAAATTTGTTTGTATTTAGTGAACTACGAATGGTGCGATATCTCAATGAAAACACGAATTTAGTAAGTGCATATACATGTTAATGTACATTTGCATATTAAATTAGTTTGCAAGTGTAGTAAGAAGTTCTTAAAAAAAATGGAATGAACAAGTTATGTAGTGTTATAAGAGATTAAGCCAAATATGATAATAAATTTGATGTGATCCTTATGTTTGCTTCGTTAATTGAACATAATCAACTTTGAAAACTTGGAAATGGTGCTAAGGCAAAATTTAAATTCGAACTAATTAAGTAATGATCTTTACTTATTTCATCCTACATTGCAATCAAAGTTTTATAGTATGTTTATTGAATGTAAATAAACTAATGATACTTACACAAATAGATGATGGTGGATGAACTGCATAACTTTGCGAGTTTGATGCATGATCATTTGGAGGTGAATGAGGTGAAAACATTGATGATGAAGAACTCGAACATGGAGGTGAGGCTGACGGAGGAGGACAATATGTTGGTGGACACGAGGTCGGTGATGAAGGTGGGCAAGGTTTTTCTGGACATGGTTGTGGTGGTGGTGGTGGTAGTGGTGGTGGACATGGAGGCGGTTTCGGACATGGTGTAGGAGGTGGTGGTGGTGGACAAGGAGGAGGTGGTGGCGGAGCAGGACATTGCGGTGGAGGACAAGGAGGTGGAGGTGGTGGAGGTGGACATGGTTTTGGTGGTGGTGGAGGTGGACATGGAGGTGGTTCCGGACATGGAACTGGAGGTGGTGGCGGTGGACACGGAGGAGGTGGTGGCGGAGCAGGACATTGCGGTGGAGGACAGGAAGGTGGAGGTGATGGAGGTGGACATGGTTTTGATGGTGGTGGAGGTGGACAAGGTGTTGGTGGTGGTGGAGCTGGACATGGAGGTGGTTCCGGACATGGGGTTGGAGGATGCGGTGGTGGAAGTGAATTAGGTGATGAAGGGGGTGGAAGTTGTGGTGGATACGGCTGATGCGGTAACTGTGGTTGCTGATTTGGTGGTTGTTGATGTGGTGGTTGTTGTGGTGGGAACGGCTGTTGCGGTAACTGTGGTTGTTGTGGTGGATGCGGTTGTTGCGGTAACTGTGGTGGTTGTTGTGGTGGAAACGGTTGTTTCGGGAACTGTGGTTGTTGATGTGGTGGTTGTTGCGGTAGATGCGGCTGTTGCGGCAACTGTGGTTGTTGTGGTAGATGCGGTTGTTGCGGTAACTGTGGTGGTTGTTGTGGTGGAAACGGTTCTTTCGGGAACTGTGGTGGTTGTTGTGGTGGAAACGGCTGTTTCGGGAACTGTGGTGGTTGTTGTGGTGGAAACGGTTGTTTCGGGAACTGTGGCTGTTGATGTGGTGGTCGTTGATATGATGATTTTAGTGGTCGTTGATATGATGGTTGTGGTGGTTGTTGATGTGGTAATTGTTGATATGGTGGTTGTGGTGGTCGTTGATATGATGAATGCCGATGATTACCAAAAGCAAATGTGATATTGATAATGCAACATGACGAGATAACAGTTAACAACCAAAAATATGACGCCATCTAAAATTATAAATTATAACAAGTAGCTTTTGTGACACTAACAAATTGCGCATTTATCGAAACTATACCAAAACAGCTGAAAATAGCCTACCACATTTCTAACATCATTACTGACATAAGTATTCAATTAGAATCGTAGGTTAACAACTTCCGGTTAACATACCATATTTGATACTTCAACTAAACTGCAAGAGAGCAATTTCTCATCATTTTTTATTAAACGAAAAAAAGAACGAAAACGCTATTTTGTTACGACTGGCAAACAATTTAACAAATTCATTCATTTGTTGTAACCTTTCCCTTTTACCACTTTGAAGGAATTTATTCATATGTCAAACTCATCCAGAGGCTGGCAATAAAATGATACTGTACAACGTTAACTTCCAATATTTCATCTGCAACTTATAAAAAAATGTAAAAAAAGAAAGAAAGAAAGTGTAATGATTGAATGAAGTGATGAAAATTGTATACTCATCACAACAACAATAAAAAGTGAAAATAATCGGTTAGTTCCACTGTTACGTTCAACATACTCTCTCAGTTAAAAATTTGTACTAATAATTAAACAATAAATGAAATGAATGATAACAGTATTATCAATAATTCTGAGTTAGTTTAAATATTTAATTATTCAAGTAGATCTAAACTTAATTATACTATAAGTTTTGGGAATATATAATTTAAATTTTTTTTTTCAATATAATGCTAATAAAAATTAAATTGCTATTTTAACATGTTGATGTAATAAATGGATTGTTGAAATTTCAGCAGTAAAATTTAATTCTAAATTAACGACAATATTTGGCAATTAAATTATATTGGAGTATAGTTATCTTATAACTTTCAAGTATAAAATTATTTCAATTATAGAAAAGAATAATTTACATTGCTTTTATATCATTCTTTTGATCCAAATTCAAAACATTCCGATACTTTTAATAACATTCAAAGAATATAGTCAGAAAGCTTTGTAGCATTAAGTTGTTTACTAATTGAATGAATAAATTTTACAATTTTAATTAACGTAACATAACAGTGATACACTTATGGGTGAAGTTTTCAAAAAAAACACCAAATATTTTTATCATATCAGTATTGTAGCGAATTACAATAAACTTCCTTATTTGCATTGGTTCATATTTGAAAAATGCTAATATGATGATAAGCTTTTAGGGAAAATTAAATATTGCATACTAATACGTATTATTAATATTATTAATTAATGACTTTAATAAATTCAATATTATTTTATCTTGCACTAATCAGCTTGTTACTCCTACTTATCACTTCAAACTATTGATACTGCAGGTTTTTTTACAAGATACTGCAGGTTAATCGTATGATAATTCATTATTATTTTTGTATCGCTATTATTATTATTATTATTATTATTATTATTATTATTATTGTAGCTATTATTATTAATAATAATACTGATGAAATTGGGAAGCATTTCTAAGATTGAGAAGTAACAGCGGAAGGATTGCGATATCAGGAATATTGGTACAATAATCCATAAATGGCCTC